TGTAACTTTTCTCTTTATATTTTAATGGGACAAGAGATAGTAAAGAGAGAGACGGTCGACTCTAAATTACTCAAAGTGTGCTCAGTTCCTCTCCTTGTGTCCTTGCCTGGACACACTAATCACTGGCCATGTTGCATGTTTTCCTCTTGAGGGTGAAAAATATGGTATAGAGGGCGAATTTTAAAAATACCTCGATATCCGAAAGTGCCAAAACCACGACATAAGAATTCAAACACTGAGGGTATTATTTGTGACTGGTATTAGTAAAATTACTGCTTTATTGAATTGTTTATCTAAAACTGTTACAAAAAGTTTTTCTAAGCTAAATCTTTTAAGTGCTGTTTAAATATTTATCCTTTTCAGTTTATAGATGAAACATCTGCCTTGTCAAATGGAAAGACTTGATGGTTTTGCCAGCACAATAGCCTTGCCGCCATCTTGGTGGTGTATTTCACAGGGGAGAGGAGACAGTTTAGGAAAGGAGTTGGGGCCCTGGGATGATGTCTTGCATCTGCTCTTTGCCAGCTATATCACCCTGGGCAGTTATTGGACCCTGGTCTCAAAGTTCCATATGCAAAATTATGATAATCAACTATTTCACAAGGCTGTTATGTCAATGAAATTGTGTGTACAGAAGCACTTGTAAACTGTGAAGTACCATGTAAATGTTAGTTACAATTATAGCTTCATCTACCATACATCAGGAAAGTGTCATGGACTGTGGAGGACCCATTTCCTTTTTTCACGTGTACTCTGCAACACAGAGAGGGGAGATTTTTTTTTTTTTCACTTGCTTAGTCATTTTTCCCCCCATTTTTTTTTGGTGGTAAAATATAAATAATGTAAAATTTTTACTGTCTTAACAATTTTTAAGTGTATAGTTCAGTGGTACTAAGTACATTAATAGTGTTGTGCATCCGTCACCACCATCCATTACCAGAACTCTTTTATTTTGCAAAATTGAAACTTTATACCCAACTAAACAATAACTCCCCATTCCTCACTTCCTGATTCCTTGTTTTTTTTCAAATAGTTTAAAATTCTAACGCTGCTCCCACCTTATCCCTAACACAAAATTCATTCTCAACCAGAAATATAATGGTGATAATCTCAATTTTAGCTACTACCTTCATCGTTTTGGTCTTGGTAAGATAATCCGAAGAAGTGGTGAAGAAATACTGTAATATAGACTTTGCATGATAGGAGAAATTTGCCATATGTAAAAACGGTTTAGTATTTTGCAAATTTCTGGGCATAATGGCTCTTCTGGAAATGTATCCTAAGGAAAGAACAAGAGAAGTACAGTTATCTGATAATGGGTAAAAAATGTAAATAGATCTTCTAAATTCTCATCAATTGTGGATCAGTTTAAAAATTGGTGGCATATATATACAATGAATATCATATAATCACTAAATATCTCATTATAGAATAATACTTAAACTATGGGTGTATGGTCGTGCTATAGTATAAAGTTAAAAAAAATTTAGAAAACAGTATTATGATATTATGTCAGTTAAATAATAAAAATTATTTACATATGTATATGTATACATATATATATAAAACATGTATATGAAAATCCTAGTAGGTATACAGAAAATGTTAATGGTAATCTCTGGGTGACAGAATTATTAGTGATTTTAATTTCTTCTTTACAATTTTTTATGTTTTGTAATTTTCTCAATGACTGCATATTACTTTTATAACCAGGAACAAAATGTAATTAAATAAAAAACTCAGGCCTAGGCCACCTCCAAAGCAAACCCAGCAATGAACTCTGAAGTATTTCAGCTATGAACATTTTAAGTAATTGGAAATTGGGAGGACCATAAAAAGTGGTCACTAGGGGCTAGTATTTGAATGAAAAACCCAAAGAGCTTGTTTCAAATCATGTCGACTTCCACGTTACTAATATAATTAAAGCAAGTAAATCAGTTGGGCAACATGCCACTCACCCTTCAGACACACGTCACAGCTGTCTGCATGCTCACAATCTTCACCTTGCTCAATTTTCACAGTTTTTAATATGAATATCAATTCCCTTTTTCATAAACCTAACCTATAAATGCCACAACCCCTCTGAGGGATTTCCCCAGGCTTCATTTTAGGCTCCACAAGAAAGGATGTAAAAGAGACCTTTCTTTTGTAAAGTGATTTTATAATTCTGTCCAATATCCATCATTTTCAAGGCCAAGTAATCATATTTAATAGATCCTAAATTATATTTTGTCAGGCAAGGATTCCCTTGATGATATTAACCAGAGCAGAGGACTTGACAGGCAGAGGCCTGAAAGTAAGATATTGTTCTACAAAGGGCTTATGAGCTTTCCTTTTCAAGGCTTGACCTCACTAAGTTTGGGGTGGTGCAGGATCTGTACCTTCACTGCAATCCTCAGTCTTCCCTAAGTTACCCACAAACCAACTCCTGATTTCCTGTCTTAAAGTCACTTTTAAAATTAAATTACATGGCTCATTTTTGACCCTTTCCTTTGAGGAAATTGCCTTTGTGAATTTATTTCTACAATATTCCACTAGCAATACAGCTAGATGTATAAGCATGTACCTACTCTATCTCTTCTTTATCTGCTTATAGGAAACCTGAAAGAGAAAGGCTGAGGGATGGGAGCAAGTTGGAGAGATGCCTTCATGCCTTGTGCTGTTTAAATGAGTGTTATAAAGTATAAGGTTGGAGATCGTTTTTTGACAGGAAAGATTATAAGGTCATGATGCTGGAAAAGAATACAGGGACAGATTTTCCTTTGAAAAAGGAAGAAATCTTGGATCAGGTTTTCATTTGGAGGGAAGTTCTCAGCACTTTTTTGAACATCTCTATTTTTATTTTGTGGGTTTTATATCTCAAAGGTTTTAAAGAATATGAAGGTTAAAAAAAGAATAAGCATTTCCCCAAATTAAACAAAATTTAAGTTTTTAAAAAAGTTTATTTATAATCAAAAGTTTATTTATAATCTATACACTGACATGGGGCTTGAACTCACGGCCCTGAGATCAAGATTTGCATGCTCTACCAACTAAGCCAGCCAGGTGCCCCACAAAATTTAAGTTTTTAATGCTTCAGTTATCAAAACAGTTCAAGTACAAACTTCATTCAAAATACAACTGTTAAGGTCTTGCTGTGTGCCTGGGCCTTCGGGGCTTTATAAACATTAACTCATTACATTTTTACAAAGACTCTGTAACCTGCAGATATATTTATTCCAGTTTTAGGGGTGATGCCTACAAGTCAGCCATTTCTAAAATCTTAGAGTGGCTTGGGCTCCAACAGTTTAGACCACTTTTCATTTTTGATGATCTATTTTCCCACATAGAATTGCTTGTTCTTGTTCTGGAAAAAATAATCCCAACCCAGTTGCTCCACACTTCAAGACATGTGGATCTTGAAATTCTTGCCTAAAGAAAACTGTGAGAACACAAAAGGAAGAGTAGGAAGGAGGAAATGATGCATAACTCAGTAGAATAAAAACAAAAATATTAAACCGGTATCAAGGAATTTGTCCTATGATTTGGGGCAAAAATACTTTACACAAAAGGACCAATTCTGCCTGTTTTCTGATCAATTTTCTCACTTTTCTCCTTCTTTTTTTTTAAAGTTCTCAGGTTTCTGTGTCTTTCCTTTGCTCTTCTTCACTAATTCTTTTATTTTTACTCACAACTCTCCCTTATTTTTATCTTACCATCACTCTTTCCCTTATTTTTTCTCCATGCCTAAAAAAGAGAAAAGATAAGACAAAATCAACCTGGTTTTTGTGCTCTCCCTTTAAGTGCAATAAAACACAGGTGCAAAAATGGAAGGAAGGAACTGGCTGGTTTCATGATCACTTCTTCCATCTTTCATCATCATTAACTCCTCTTGCTACTGTCTTCTTCTTTACTTCCTCCTTTCCAATAAGTCACTTCCTTCTTTTCAATAAATCACTACAGCTAAGATTTAAAGCCACTTTACCACATTCTGATACACTACAGCAGTTTAATTTTTATATCAGTCTAACCCAAATTGATTTCTCATTGACAGAGCTCAGCTGCCACCAACTTACCTGCTGTGTTCAACAAATGGAAACTCTCAGTAAAACCTGTATTATCATTTATTTCCACTGTGGAAATATTAAACAGGCTGAGATGCAGTGATGATTTTAATTTTTTAAATCACAACACAATTATTAGGATGATAAAAATCTCACAATTTTGGGGGAAATAAGGATGGATTTCAAAGGAAGCAATCATTTAGAATCTGACCATCAGTTCTCCGGTAGACTTTGGTCCATGTCGATGCATCTTGCCTGGACATGTTAATATATTCTCTACCTTCTTCTCAGTGCTCTTATTATTAAAAAAAATATAGTGACACTCTTATCTTTTAATGTTTTTTTTTTAAATGGGTATCTCTATTTTTAACTCCACTGAATAAACAATTACAGCTGTCTGCGTGTATGTCACATTTTATATCTTTCAGAGAGCTTTCATAGCATTATCTATCTAATCCTCAAAACAACAAACACTTGCTGGGCACTGTGATAGGTATTGTGATCCAGATGAAAACGTTTCACAGCTCCTTCTTTGAGGGGGAGAGATTATGGGGGCACATGTAACAATTCCAGACAGACTAATGTATTACGGATTTTAATAATTATACATATAAGGTACTACAGGGACACTGGGTACCTAATTATTAATCATATTGTTCTCTGATAGCATTTGTCACATTGTATTTTAATTTGATACATAGTATCAGTCAGTTTTTTCCACTAAATTGTGATAGAGAAGACATCTTATGCACCTCTGCATTCCTATCATCAAACACAGGGCCTTGAACATGATAACCAGTTACTCTTCAATGAATGGATGAATAAAATGGATGGATATATATATATAGATAGATAGCTATATGGACATTCATTTTATATATTATAAATGTATGTATAACTATATAGATACTATATATTGATTTATGTGATATATATAAACATATATGTATAAATTATTATACATCACATATAATGTATACATATATAATATTATGCATTATGTATATAATATCTATCTAACATATATATGTTTAAATTAAGAATTCCAGGAAAGAGGATCTTTTATGTAGTATGGGAAAAGAATTGTTTTCAACCAACAAAAGTACTACTGTCTGTGTTAATACAAAGTCAATATATAATAGGTTCCTATATTAGTTTTGAAATCCTGATGATGTAACTGTAATAGTCAAGGTCAGACTCCTAAGAAAGATCAGATTCCCAAATTTCCTTTCACTTTAAGGAGTGAAAGCCTTCAAACCTTTCTCTTGCTCTTGCTCTTCCTTTCCAACATTACTAAAATTCATGTTTCATTTAGGAGTGTACATCATCTTCCATCTTTGATTAATAAATACTTCTGACTAATTATGTGCCTCATTCCTGTTCTATGTGTATTTTCTTCAACTGTTTCACTGCTGCTTACTGACCACCATCCTAACTAGAATCCATTATGCATTTGGGGGGGACAAAGGAAGAGCTATATGACATAGGAAGAAAAGATGAACTCAGAACCTTGCTTTCTTGTCTGTAAATTGCATAGAAAATCTCAGAAGGATTCTTTATAGCCCTTGTTTATTACGAAACTCTCCCTTCAGTGTACGCATTCCTTGGCTGATAGGTGAAAGTGGGAAAGAGGAGGAAGGTAGTCCTAGCTTACTTCTGCATTGTTTCTCATTTGCTCGCCATTGGCCCATGTGGATCCTTGATATGCTGAAGGTATCAGTCCAGGTCCCAACAAGACACAGAAGTCACACTTAATAGGGCCTTATTCAGGGAGTTTAATGAAGAGGCTATTTCTAAGAGTGTAGACAGGTGTCAGGGAAACCAACAGAAGATGGTGAGGTCTTCCCCGGGCTAGCGACAGTGGGAATCTTCATCAGCCATTGGCTTAAAGGGATAGAGGAGGGAAGAGCTACCAGAACCCTGACAACTGTAGCTGTAGTAGAGTGAGGGCTGTGGCCTTTTCCAGAGGGAAGGAGCTACTGCCAAGCCGTGGTCATGCAAGGAAGGACCTCTGACCTCACTCTGCCTCCTTCTCCTCCCATCCTCATGTCTCCTGTCTATATTTTGCCAGTGCCTCCCATTAGCTGAATCTAACCAGAAGGCAGAGGGGATGGGAGCTGAGATGAGGCAAAGCATGGGTCAGCCTCTCTTGGGACAGAGCAGGTTGGGGAGGTTGGAAAGAGCATCTGGGGGGCTGAGGCTGAAGATATCTGTCACATCTAGTAATTGTTCCTCAGCTGAAGTTGCCTTTTTACACAATAAGAGAGTTTTGATGCAGTGAGTGGAACGTGTCTTTAAAGTCTCTTAGAAGCTTATATAGCTATGTTTTTCTATGAAAACTTTTTTTTCTATGAAAACTTTTTTTTTTTTTTCTAAAATAGTCCAATAATATGGTAAGTAGAAGGTTTCCTACAGCCTCAGGGTCTCTCCAGATCTCTGGCTTACAGATTTGTCTCCTAGTCCTTCAGCCTCCAGTATCTTGATCTTGTGGAAGTTGCTCCATGGTAGCTACATTGGTGACAAAATCAGTTTTCTTTGATGCCCCTTTTAGTTGTATTCCTTTCAGTGATGGATATCAAACCACAAACAAATTCCTCTCTTCTCTTTAGTCTAGAGATTAACCTTCCTTATGAGACATGTCTGGTAAGTATTGGAAGACACAGAGGGTTTTCTCCCTTTTCTCTCCTCTTAACACACATACACACACCAACCTGTGGAGAATTTGAAAAAGCAGAGTCTTGATCTTTGGAGAGAGAAACAGATTCTCTGGAGGGGAACTGAGAGATTGCAGAGTTGAGTGGCAGGAGACCCACCCAAATAAAGGCTCTTCTGAGCTGGCACAGCTTTATGATTCAGCATTTCTTCTGGAGATGATTCTGTGAACTCATATACACCAGATCCAAAAGGGGCAGAGGAATGTACTTTTGAGCTCCAGACATATAGGCCCTGAAACCAATGCAAGTGTGGGGAACAATATTGAAAGCTAAGGATGTCACTATTTTTTACTGCATAAAGTTCTTTAATTCTGTGTCAACCAGAAGTGTTTAGACTTTTCTAAAGGAGAGGCTTGGAGATGATGCCCTCTCTCTTCCATTGTGCCCTGGTCTCTTGCCACAGTTATAAAGGAGCTGTAGCAGGGCTGCTTGGCCCTCCTATAGATATCTGCATCTGGGAGGGGAAACCTGAGGTGGATGGGGTCACCCAGTGCATGGGGGGATGCACCCACAAACTTCAGGAAGAGGATGATTAAATCATCCAATGCCAATGCCTTGGCGGGGGCTCTGGTGAGAAATGCTTTGTAACCTGCTCCCAACCTGAGAGCTTGGAGAAGCTGTCTTCCCAGACTGAGCAACATGTAAGGTTCTTAAACCATGAAACCCTGGGTACTATGGCATGTGCTAAGCAGCATGTTTCCTATGGCTCTGCCGGCTAATTTTCTTTTTTTTTAAGATTTTATTTATTTATTTGACAGAGAGAGACACAACAGAGAGGGACCACAAGCAAGGGGAGTGGGAGAGGGAGAAGCAGGCTTCCCGCTGAGCAGGGAGCCTGATGCGGGGCTTGATCCCAGGACCCTGGGATCATGACCTGAGACAAAGGCAGACACTTAACGACTGAGCCACCCAGGCGCCCCCGGCTAGTATTTTTTGCTCCCGTGGTCTGTGGGGTTTGGTGTTCATTTCTTTTAGACTTAGGGTGACCAACTCATCTGGGTTTGCTTGAGACTTCCTCGTTTTAGCACTGGAAGTCTGGTGTTCCAGGAATCCCTTTATTTGTTCACCTGAATTGGAGTCTGTGAGTGGTAAGTGTGTGTGGGGGGCCTGGACTCTGGGTGTCACATACCTGAGAGTCAGCACCCACAGAGGTCAGATCTCCTCTAGGAGTGTGGCTGCAATATCACGTCCTTCTTTACCAGGTTGGCAGCGACCGTAAACTGGATATACTTATTCCTGTCTCACAGAGCACTTTGGGTGGTTGTCGGTTAGCTGAGGTCCAAGTGTAATAGTACATGTTAAAGCTTTTTGGAGATTATAAAACATTATTCAGACATGATTATTTTGGTCACATCATGCTTTCCTCATTGACAATCCCTGACCCTGAGCACATGTGGATCTTTCAACTTTGGGAGAGAGAAGGAGCTCATAAATATTATTAATTTAGTATATTAAATAACAATTCAATATATTAAAAATAATAAATATTAAGCACCTCCTGTGCCCACTGAACATTGTGCTAAGTACTTTATATACATCATTGCTTTTAATCCTTCTAAAAATTCCATGGAATAGTTATTATTATTCTCCATTGCCCCTAAAGTTAATTTCCTTAATACAAGAGTCTGTTATCTTTTGGTGTAGACTCAGTGCTGATGAAAGCAGGTAAGCCTGTATATGTTACCTGAGCTGGCTCTCAGAATGGGCCTGCTATTTGGCATATGAACAATAAATCCCGTGTGAAGACCTCTAGCTGGTCAACCCTTGGATTGGGTGAAGCCCAACCTGCCCTCTGTGGCCTTGCTCAAACCTTGAGGTCTGCAGGTCTAATTTAGAGTCATCTTGAGCTATTTGGCCCAATCTAGCATCCCAAAAGGCATAGGAGTATGGGCTTAACTCCACTGTATTACGTACATTTGAAAGCTCATATATCTTTCCTTAGTAACTAATAGAGTTTCCAGATAATGTCAACAAAGTTGTTGTATAGGCGTGATAAAAAATAATTTTCTGAAATACATGTTATACACAATACATAAAATATACAACCTATCCTTACTATATTTCATTCAATTTTTATTTATTTATGATCAAGTTTAAAATTTTATCCAAGTATTCATTTTTATTTCCCATTAGATTAAATGTATTTTTTAAAATGCAGGACTGAAGTTCAGTTTTTACCAATTCAGCCTTTACCTGTTAAATTTATTAAAGTCCATAGATTATCCATGATGTATTTGATATAATAATTAAATCATGATGTTAAACCAGTTTCCACCTATCAAGAGATGTTGTTTTTTCAGGACACTTGGATCCCACGTTCAAGGCACCAACTTGCTCATAGAAGGAATCTGAAGGAAGATCTTTTACTTCATGACAGCAGCTAAGTTTGAATTATGTTATCCAAAGGAGAAATTTCTCCACATTAGTCAAAGTGCCCAGAGCTTTCAAAGAAACCAATTTTCCATATATTTAGGGACTCTTGTGTATACATTTAATAACTTTTGATGAAATTTCTTACCCACACAAAGTAGTAAAAAATTTTACAGTATTTCTTCCTAAATGTTGTGTAAACACCTTCTTAGACAAACGGATTATAAGTCTGGGCCAAAACTTTGTTTCGAGCTAGCCACAAGGGATGAAACCTTTAAGTGCACCGATTCAAGATTCTCTTTAGGGATTTTATAAGAAAAGCGAATGGTTAATCATTGTTAAACTGGATACAAGAAAAAATCATGTCTGGTTAAAGATTATTAGGCTGGCCAGTCAGCTGGGTGGGCAACCCTGGCTTCCCAGAAGTCCTTAATCTTATTTAGGTCTATCAGAAAATTGCTCAAGCATTTTAACAGCAATGCCAATTATATCCCAGAGGAGGTTGTGAATTATATCATGCAAAAAAGTTCTGCCCTAGACCAGGTTTGGGACAATTTTTATTCTCAATGTGAATATAAGTTTTGTGCCAAAACATTATCATCAGTTTTTTGTTCTAAAGTAATGTTTTTTTTTTTTCCTTAAAATTTGATTTCAGGTGGTAAGCCCTTTTGGAATAAAACTATTTCTTACCTTAAAAGAGGGTTGTAAGCTTTGAAAAACATGAAAGTTAGACAAATGCAACACTTTGGAGAAACAGTAAGATTTCATAATGGAAACAGCACTAACATAAGCTACAAATGTGATTTGAAAACAAGCCAGCAGTGTCTAGATCTACCTACCAATATATGAGAAGTACATGATAAACTCTATCATGAAGGGTTGGCAATATCCAGACCATGGGAAATTCTACGAGACTCCAAATGGTTTCTTCAGTAAGCATCCTGCAGGGAGTAGGGGGTGGGGTGGGGGGAAGAAAGGAATCTATAAAAAAATACTTAAAAGACTTACCAATCTATTACAACATGTAGACCTTATTTGCATCCTGATTCAAACACACTACAAAATAAAATATGACATTCATGCAGTTGAAAATTTGAACTCTTCCTAGAAATGTAATGATATTAAGGGATTATTGTTAATTTTTAAATTGTGACAATGGTAATGAATTTATATAAAATCAACTTTATGATTTAGAAATACACAGTGAAAAGTTTGCAGATGAAAGGTATGCCTAGGATTTGCTTCAAAATAATACAAGAGGAAGAGAAGTGGGTGGGTAATAGATGAATTATGATCAGCCTGAATTGGCAATTACTGAAGCAAGGTGATGGGTATATAAAAGTTCATCACACTCTGCCTACTTTTTGCATATGTTAATAACTTCTTCTTCCTTTGCACCCTCTTCTTCCTCTTTTTCCTTTTCTTTTTATTCTTTTCCATAAATGTTTCTCCCAAGAAAGAATTCTTTGGTTTGGCTTGTAGTAAGCTTGAAGTAAAACTCCAACATATCTTGTAATCAATTTGTCTGAGAACTTGCTTTCTTTAGTTTTTTCATCACATGAAAAGAACCAAGTTGTTCATTGGCACATAATAAAAAACAGGAATTTTGGAGTTTCAAGTTCAGCCACTCATGGTATGTAGTTGGAACCTTGGAAGGAGTGGGCAGAGGAAAATCATATGGAGAGAGAGGAGCCCAACAACAAGGCCAGAGGTGGGGACTCTGGAGGGACACAACTGGGGAGAAATTCTTATGCTTAACATCCAACTTGATATTCTCTCCTGAGCTGTGTTATTACTACTGTTCTCCCCCATCCCAGAAAATGACAACCCCATCTTTCTACTGGCACAGGACAAAAACCTCGTTTTTTTCTCGTTTTTAATAGAGATTTTATGTATTTATTTGAAGAGAAAGAGAGAGAGAGCAAAGGGGGAGGGGTTGAGGGAGAGGGAGAGGGAATCCCAAGCAGACTCTGTGCTCAGCGTAGAGCCCGACATGGGGCTCAATCCCACGACCCTAAGACCATGACTTGAGCCGAAATCAAGAGTCAGACACCCAACCAACTGAGCCACCCAGTCACCCCAAAACCTTGGTTTTATCCTTGCTTCCTCTCATTCTTTTACATCTACATTTGATTCATCTGCAAACCCTGTTGGCAGACCTTCAATATATATCCATAACTTATGTATACTCCTTATCACCACACTGCTGGACAGTGGTTCCAGTCACCAGCTCTAACCTATATAGTTTTAATAACTTCCAAAGTCATCATCCAGCTTCTACCTTTGCCTCTCTCAGTCTCTTCCCACCCCAGGAGCCAGACAGATGATCCTTCTAAAGCAAGTCAGGTTCTAGCACTCCTCTACTCCAAAGCCTACAACAGCTTCCCAACTCACTCTGGGTAAAAGTCAACTGTCACACTGACCTACTGGCCTGCACAACCCACTTCCAACCCCTCTGATCACATTTTGGCTCTTCCCTCATTTATTCCCATTTTCGTCGCACTGGCCTCAGGCTCTTCCTCCATCGGGGCTGTGCATTTGCTGCTCCCTTTGCCTGGGACATCCTTCCCCCAGATCCGAGCATGGCTCTCTCCAGCACCTCATCTACTCAGTGCAAAGGCTCCTCACTGAAGCCTGCTTGGGTCATATATTTTAAAAATCAACTCTCCTCCTAGCACTCTGCTTCCCTTTCCTCTGCTTTATTTTTCTCAGTGCATTTACTGTTACCAGACACATGCTAGGGTGTCTTATTTATTGTACCTGTTGTCTGAGTGCTTCCCCTGGAATGTAGGCTCCACACAGGCAGATATTTTTGTCTCTTTTACTTGTGGTTGAATCCCTGGAGTCCAAACAGGGTGTAGTCTATAGTAGGTGCTCAATAAATATTTGTTAAATGAATGAATTCCTAAAACGAATTAAATCTGGCATGTACAACCTTCTTACATGAGTAGTGCTTTGGGGAATGAGGCAAAGTGGCTGAGTGTAGAGGGGACAGGGCCGTGGTTTCGAGCACTGAGCTACTGAGCTGGGAACACCAAGAGCTTAGCCCAGGGAACAGACATTTCAAGTGAGAGGTGACAATGGAACTTGAGGCCCTGGGAAGGACCTTTCTGACCTTTCCCACAATAGCCTGAACTATTTTATTTGGATATTTACATAAAGGCAATCATAAAACTCTGGAAAGACTTTATTTGGTTACTTTAATAAAATTTAAAGTTACACTGAGAGAAAAGAGACACTTCCTAATATCGGACATTTATGTGTCTGGTATTTTTGCAATTTGATTCTCAGAAACAGGTTTAAATATTTGAAATTAGACATCTGGCAACTTAAACTGGACAATGAAAGACAATCAAAGCTCTCCATTCCAGACCTGCCAGGCACAAAACACAACCTCCAGCACTGAAGCTGTGGGGGGTGTGAAGTGGGGGTGGGCGGGGAGGGAGGGGCACGGCCCGTGCCCTGGCTGCTTCTCTGGGGCCCTGACAAAGGACAGAGCAGGACACTGGTGAGGAAAGTGGAGGATGCTGTGGTTTGAGGTGCGGCCAGCCCTAGAATCAGCTTCATTTTAGGTTGGCCTAGTTGGCCTGCAGTGACCACTCCATCACAAGACTCATAGAAGGACATGGTTATTTTATCTGGCACTAAGACAATGATAAAAATTTAAGTGTAAAAGCAAAGGCCCTCTAATACATAAGTAGAAACAGCACATGACCCTGTGCTCCCCCCAGCCACTTGCTAATCTGTCATCCGGGCAAAATCAGGTGTCTCCCCTTCTAGTCATCTTTCAACCCAGACATCACCATTTTTAAGGTTGCTCCCCACTGCCACATAGAGGGGCATAGAGGGAGGGCCTGAATTCAGTCCCTCAGGGGTTTCACCCAGATTCCATGATACCCTGACTGTATCCAGGGGTGCCCGTGTATCCAGGAGGAACACTGACGATGCTAAGGACTGGCTGGAAGCTTGCCAGAGGGCTCAGTGAGGTCCCTGGCATGTCTGTGTAGAAGTCTGGGAGGTGGGATGGGCAGAGAAGAAAAATCGCCTTTTAGCTCAGGGCAGCACTAGTCTGGAGCCCAAATGAGATCTGTAGGAAGAGCTCCTCAGGATCTCTAGTAAGACCCCCAGCAAGAGTGGAGATGAGGCTGCTAGGGAGCCAGGAGGCCCCACTGGGCTTTGGCCAAGCTTGAAGAGAAACCAGAGGACAAGCTGCAAGCAACAGGAAAAGCAGATGTTAGTCAGGCCACAGCAACTAGGTGGCTAGATGGTAAGGTCCGGCAGACCAGGGAGCTCAGGACCATCATGCCTGAGACTCCTGATTCCACCTACCACAAGACTGCAAAGTTTTGTGATGACAACCCAGCCCAACCCATGTATATTCAGGTATTCAGATGCCGTCTGGAAGAGGAGTCAGGAAGGTGGGTGGAAGACAGAGGAATCACCAAGTACCTTTATCTGGAAAGGTGGAACATTAAACAAGGGGACTCTAAATGTTTGCCTCAGGCCAAGGTTTAAACCAGATTGGACTTTTAGTGATTTTTCTCCTTGCTACTCAGTGGTTGAAAATTGACAAAAGATGTTTGTCTAGTTGTCTAAAAATACCAATTATTTTTTTTACCTGTCTAATACAAAGAGTAAGTAAATTACAACCTCATAATATGTACATGATTGTTGATAACCCTGTGTGTAGTTAGTTTTCTATATTTGAAAGCTTCTGGCTCTTTCGGAATAGTGGAGAGAGGGTAGGTTATAGCCCCACATAGATCTACGTTTGAACCTGGCCCTCGCATTCTGCTTGCTCTCTGTGGGAACGTGAGGGAGTTACTTAACACCTCTGAGTCATGGTTGTCTGTAGAATGGATTTAATACTGCTGACCAGAGTCTTGTTCTGGAATTCAATGGCATCTGAGTGTAGAATTGCCCAATCCAGGGCTTGTCATATGGAACATGCTCAACAAAGGTCAATTTTCTTTTCTTCCCACACTGAATAATTTGCACAGTGACAAACAAATGATAAATTGTTTCCTAGTTAATTTACTCCTATTGACTACTGATAAATTGACCTCAGTGTTTGATGGGATCATCCAAATTAAAATATTGACATGTTAAGACATAGTTTTTATTTTAATCCAGTTCCAACTATGACCTGTAGATGTCTTTGTGAATCTTCCTCTGTACCCAGTTATGACTAAAGGTACAGAAGACAGCTCAGCCATTGGCATTAATGATTATTCATAAAGCACAAAGGGTTGGTGTGTGAGAAGGGAGAGCACTAGGCACTCTGTCTGTCCACTTAATTTCCTCTGTCTCCCACCACAGGGTGAAATGAGACTTTCCTCAAATCCCTTTGCGCTCGATCCACTCTCAGCCTTACAGTGGGAGTAGAACTACAGAGCAAGGGACTCTGGGTGCAAAGGCCAAGTTCTTGGGATCCTTCTGATGCCCCCCCCGCCGCCACCACCTACCTCAACCAGGGAACTCAGGACAAACAGCTGCTTACAGATGTCATGTGGGGCACTTTCCACAGGAAGCTGGTATTTTCTATGGGACATGATTTGACTTGCTTGTTGATTTAGGTGACACCAACTGAATAAGGGAGGGCTTCTGCCATGTATCCCTGTTTGGGACAAAACATTCAGCTTTTGTTTCAATGGACCCAAGCAACTCAAAGCACAAGAGCTAACCATTGAAAGGGGAGGGGAAGAGGATTTAATAAATCATTTGAGATATATATATATATATATATATATATATATATATATATATATATATATATATATATAAAATTTTTTTTTAAAGTAGGTCCACACTCAGTGTGGAGCCCAGTGTGGGGCTTAAGCTCACAACCCTGAGATCAAGACCTGAGCTGAAATCAAGAGTCAGACACTTAGCAGACTGATCCACCCAGGTGCCCCTTCACAGTATTTTTTTTTTTTTAAAGATTTATTTGACAGAGAGATAGAGAGCACAAGTAGGCAGAGGGAGAGGGAGAAGCAGGTTC